AAAAAAAAGATAGATAAAGATTACAGCGTGTCGAGCGCCCCGAATGAATGCCCCTTACGTTTACGAGCGCCTTACATTCCTAAGCGTTGAGCGGCATTTGGATTGCGCGCGGGGCAGTGCGGTGAGGGGGATAGCGGGAGGCGGAGCCGACTCGAAAATCGGCCGAAATGTGCATTTCGTGCCGAGCCCTGTTCTAAATCAAAAAGATCGGTTAATATTTTTATTTCTAATTGTGACCTCTCCCGTGGTGGCAATGCCCGTAATCTACTTCCTATTTGGAGAAGGAAACCGTCAACAGCGTCAGGCGTCTTTTTCGATTCTTCAATATTTGATAAAATTACTCGTCTTATTTCAGTTTCTGAGATATCGGATTCTTTCGTTTCTGAAATATAAAAACATGTCTTTTTTTAAATTAAAGATTAGAGTTATACTAAAAAAATATTAGAAAAATAATAAAAATTGACTTCTTTTCTTTGATGATTGTGCCTTGAATGGGAAAGAATTATTACTTGCTGATTCATCAGATATGTTAACCCAGCTACCTGACGAGACAGAATCTGAGGAACTTTGAGATGGTGGAACCCTTTGAGTAGTACTGGTTGTCGGTTGTATTGGACATTCATCAATATCTGCCGGTAATGACGGTAAACTAGTAACTGTGCTGTAGTTTTAAACAAATCAATTTATAATTGTAATAAATTTTCTCTTTTTTTTTCAATCTTATACCTTAACCAAGAAACAAAAATGAATCGAATCTGACAAATAATATTAATTTAATTTTTTTCAATATTCATTTTTATTTGAAATATTGTAGACAAAAATAAGAAAGAATTTTTTCAATCCGTTTCAAATCTTTGTTATTTATTGGGAAGGAGGAAAAGAGCTCTTCGCTAAGAAACAGAAAGTGACATTCAACAGATGGTATGTTTGATGTTTATTTGAAAAAACCGTTTATACAAATAATACTTACGGCAACTTTCCTATTACGTCATTTAAGAATTTCATCTGGTTGTACGAAATAAAAGATATCTTGTCATATTTTACATTTCCAAAAGACCCAGTCGGTATGTACGCGTTTTCTTTTTTTTTTTTTCGCTTTAATATAACTGTCGCGAAGTTGTTTCCAGTGTTTTGGACAAATTCTATATTTTCATTTTCTGAAAAGACATTTCTACATATTTTAATTATTGCGAAGAATATTACTAAAGCCTTGAATTATTTAGGCAACAAAGATCTAGCTTTGACTAATATAGGCCTTTAATCATTTTTCTTTAATCATTAATATCTCATTAACTATTGCGAGCATTGCTAAATGGTAGAGGATTTTTCGACTCAGTTTAGTCCGCTCTACCTGTTCAAGACGAGTGGGGCCAATCGTTGATGACACCCTGTATATTATGTAACTTGTAAAAATTACCTCCCATTAAATTTGCGACTTCTTTCCATAACGCCTTTTTTTTAAACTTGTCCTATCTTTATTGGTATACGATGGTCGTATAATGCAGGTCTAGAGTATACAGCATTAACAAGTGCTTCATTATAATCACTAATATTACTTGCTTGAATGTTTGTTGATTGATCTTTTTCAACTGTAAACATGAAATATGTATGTATATACATATACACATAAACAATTATATGTACAATTGACTTACCTACATTAAATTACTAATAAAATAGATAGTAAAACTTTTGATCAGTGTACATTATATGCATTTATCATAGAATTTGATTATTACAAATAATTATTGGTTTTAGATACTTACTAATAGATGGGGGTGATCCCCCCCCCCGATTGATCACGGCTTGATTGGACACCACCAATCACAGCGACCGGTGCTTAGGAGCTTTGTAGTCTCAAGCGCTGTGAGTGGCTCGTGTCCAATTGAGCCGTGTCCAACTGGGTGCCACTCGCAAGCTATCATTCATCAATCCATCAAGTAACCACTCACAATATCCACATTTTATTGGCTATAAGAAGAAAACAGAATAATAAACATGATAATTTGTAATTTATAATAAAATATATTCCTATTTATATTAAACTGAAATAATCAACGTAAATTAAAGAAATATGCTTTATCAGTATTTTAAACTAACTTTAAAGTATTATAAATACATAGAAGGGAAAAAGACACTCGAGAGTTGATACTTATAATAAAATGTTAAAATGATCATATTGAAACAACCTGACTTTGCGCGGACGTAGCTCGTCGGTTACGGGCTGCGGCCAGGGTCGCAAAGAGGTTCGGCCAGGAGGAGAGAGGCAAGGCGGTAATAACGCAGTGAATACGGTTTTGTGTAATAAGAATGATAGTATATTCTGGTGTTTAGATACAAAGTGTAAGTACGTGTATGTGTGCGTGTGTGTGCGTGTGCGTGATATCAGTTGTCGCGGCTGGTATTTGCTGACGGCGGTGTATGCGTGTGTGTACACAGTATGTGCCGGTGTGAGTGTGCGGTGTGTATGCGTAACGCGTGTGTGTGTGTGTGTGTGTGTACGGCGGGCACGATTCACAGCGCGAATCGTGGTCGCGTGATTCGCTTGG